CGTATCCTCCGATCTACCGCCACACCCAAGCCCTAGATTGACGGCCCCACACCAATCTTTCAGGCGAGTAGCAGCAGATTTCGGCAAACCCTCCACACCCATCGGATTTTTTTGCTTTTGCTGGGAGTGGGAAGGGCTGCCATCCCAGCCAAGCTGCGCGAGGAAGACAACGGGAGAAGAAATTTTATTTTTTATTTTGACATCATTTTTTTTATTTAAATGTTTTTAATCTATATGGTAATATTTAATTAGATTTGTGAGACTCACTTATGTGACATATCAGCATATAACAAAATTTTTAACGAAATTGTAACGGAATGACTACATTAATTTGTGACATATATTTTTAAGAATTATATTAATCGATTTTTAATTTATGGACCATCTTAATATGATGGTTCAATTTCAGATAACATTTGTGATAAAAATCCTTAAATTTATGATCGTCACCTTTACCATGTGATGATGGGCATGGATTCACAGCCATCTCTTTCCAAAGTGCTTTCGCTTGTTTAAAAGGCATTTTCTTCTTGTATAATAACAATGCTTATGCATGTAAGAAAATGTTATTGGTATTAATATATAGTGGACTTAGCATAATAAAGTGATAAGAAATGGGATTGATTAGAATCAAAAGATACTCAATTGGTGACATTGTTTAAGTTCCACTACACTTTGGTGGAGTATAGAGGAAAGGGATTCTCTTCGAATCTCTTCCATCAAGTCCATCTATTCGGACCATTGAAATTTGATCCAAATGGTAAAGTTATTATAACTTTTAAATGGGCTTCCTGTTTATAGTCATTTGATCAAATTTCAATGGCTCAGATGGATGAACTTAGTGAAAGGGATCCGGAGAGGATCCCTTTCCGAGTATGGAAATCATATAATGTATTAAAACACATTAAAGTAGAAATTAGAAGGAAAGTTAGATGCGAAGACGTTCATGATGAAGAGATTTTCAATATGTTCAGAACATAGGCACATGCGTCATATGTCATTATATAAGTGGAAAGACACTCGAAAGGAAAAAAACTATCTTCCACTTGTATAATAACATATGACATACCGTTTTGTGTTCCGAACACATTAAACAGTCTCTATTCAAAATGAATGGTTGGTGTGGATACATAGGTTAATTAACACACAGTGAAATATTTATCGGACCTGGATTGTCTGCCCTCCCCTATCTCATACCCTTCTCATCCCCTCCTATTTTTGTAGTCACGGTTAAGCCACGTCAACATTTTATATTCCAATTGTTTTGTCTTATTATTTTTATAAAAAAATCAATATAAAACATTGACGTGATTTAATTATGATCACATAAATAAGAAGGGATGATAAATGTATGAGATTCGAAAGGCATACAATCCAAGTCTATATTTATCATATGGTTGGACTTGATTGTGATGATGGCACGAGAAGTATTTTATATTAATAACACGATACCTTTTTTATTGTGATGAGGACAATTTTAAGTAATATAATATAAATCGACGATATTATGTTCGTATGCAATATAATGCAAGAGTAAAACCAAAATTTTGCATTGGAGTAGGATAATATTTCTTGTATCATATCAAAAGATGTAAAGTGGTTTCAAATTCAATGGGTTGCAATTTGGGAGCGGCTAAAGTGGGGTTCGGTTAATGTTTGCTTAGTAGGTTGGAGCCGTTGGGCTAATCTAATGAGAGATTTTTTAATGTGATCGTCACACGAAGTGGTATACCACGTGTCATTACATAAATAGTGTGATACGGATGTCAAAAAGTTAATAACTTAAAAAATATAATTTTTCATTACTTATATAAAAACATATAGATATCATCCGTGTTTCAGTCACAATTAAATTTTTTTTCCTAACTATGTGGGCGGTCTAAGAATTAGCATTAAAATATTCTTCCCAAACCTACCCCTATGCTAGAACCCACTCTAGGTTTGTCTTGGTTAGCTATGCCCTCGATCCACTGGACATATTATATGGTACTAAAAATACATATAAATATTATAATATGTTGTGATTGATAACATTACGTGAATGCCTGATTATAACACTGAAGAATTACTCAAATAACACCTATACTAAAAATTATAAAATAATGAAGAAATTTGAAGTTGTTTTTCAATATTTATTTACATTTTTATTAAAAATTGATTTCAAAAAAAATAGTTTTTTCAAATTTTTTTTCAATCATTGTAAAAATACTTTCAAACGATGAACAACCATTTTAGACGTTTTGTTGCTTGACTTTGAAGACATATTCTATTGGAGTTTGTTTTTTCTTTCAATTTTTGTAAATCAAGATCTAGTGGAATTAATATCAGATATCTCGTTCCAATTGAAGTAGATAACGTTGGGCGTATTTGCATGAAATATTAACATATGGGGGAGGTGCTTATGTTAGGAGTTTTTGCCATCATTGATATAAAAAAATATAAAAAAAATCATAAGGATTTCGTTTTAGAAAAACTAATAAAAATGATTTGAAAACTTTGAGTTTTAACGTTAAAAACAAAATAAAATGTAAAGTGAATAGTACTAAGATTGACTTTTTAGTGTAAAAAATTAAAAATGTAGTTTTTCGTTAAAGTAAACAGTATCGAAAATTTTTCGTTAAAGTTTTCTTTGGTTTCTTGATGTGTTTTTGTGTTTAGTGGTACTTAATCATTAATTAATTGATATAATAACAAAATATTATGGATTGGGGAGGTTGGACTTGGAGTGGTTTCGAAGCTGGAAATCTGTTAGTGCTGCTGCTGCTGCTTAATTACGTATTAGTTTAATTCGCTGCAATTAGTTTAGTTTCCTGCAACTAATAACTTGAAGGCATGGCTGGTCCTGGTTGACGGCTCCAAGAAAACGAACGAGTCAAAATATTTTGGTTTTGGGAATCCTGGTCCTGCTTTTGACGTGGGTTTTGGTGCCACACGTGCCGCGCTCCCATGCAATGCGAGATCCACGGTTTGAAACTTGCCAACAGGTTCCTCTCCGGATTCTTTGGTGAGGATTAATGGAATCAAGTAAATCGTGTTCGTTCATCGTATATCGTATGATCAGTTTTTATTAGATAATGTTTGTGTTTAATTAAAATAAAATAAAATAATTTATGACCATACGATTTACGATGAACGGATATGATTCACGAATTCCTGAAATTCTCACAAAGAAAATCTGACGAAGATTTGGATTCTGAAACTTGAATCTGGATGACATCAATGGTGATCATTTGTAGGAAAAGGTCAGCTTCACGTGTACGTCTATGTGTGTGTTTCTGAAACTTGGATCTGGATGACTTCAATGGTGATCATTTGTAGGAAAAGGTCAGCTTCACGTGTACGTCTATGTGTGTGTTTGGTGTTCCGATTTATATCATGCAATTCGAATCAATTTGGCATCATTCGTGTGTGGAAATTTGCTCAAAAGTTGCAAACCAACATGTTGTATGGCGTCGATAATTATTTAGTTTAATGACACTTCGTTTGGTTACTATAATTGAATTAGAATATGAAACTCATAAAATTTGAAGTATTTTGAAAATAGGCACTTTTCGTTTAATTTGAGAGGATTATAAAATAATTAAATGATAATGAAACTTATCCTTTTAATTGTATTATTTTGGGAGAGACTATAACGTATAAGTTTATTTAATATGTATATATCAAGGTTCTAAAAACGCTAGATGCTAATCAAGAGGCGAGATGGACCCTAGTGCCTAGGCGGCTAAGCAGGGTCTACGCGGGCACCTAGGCAGACTAGGTGGATTTAAGTAAATCTATTATATTATGTGTAAATAAGTGTCTGTTTATACTTAATATATATATATATATATATATATATTTCTTTTTTTTATCATAAACTACAAAATAGAATGTCATATATATTATGAAGTATTGGAACATAATGAGAATATAGGGAACAAGCATGTAATGTGTGTTCATTTAACTATTTAGCAAGTCTCCTACAATTTATTAAAAAATAAAATAAAATACAAAATGAAAGTTATTTATTTTTTGTCTAAGTGAGTCGCAACCTAAGTGAGTCTGGACAAGCTAGGCGGTCTAAGTGGGTGCCTCATCAGGTCTAGGTGCTATTTCTTAATTTTCTATGCATTAATCGAGGCGGTGGCCAACCGTCTAGCCTAGGTGGGGATTTTTAGAAGGGGTGTGCTATCCATACACTCATTTTTACTTCTCTCACACCCCTTATTAATTTATGTCCTTTGATCTTCTTCAATTCATCCGATCCGACGGCCGAAAATTAAAAAGGTGTGAGAAAAGTAAAAAGGGGTGTGTGGATATCACATCCCTTTTAGAACAATGGTGTGTGTGTGTTGTGTGTATATATATATCTCTTCTAATCTTTATGTTGGACGCAACCTTTTGAATTTTTCCCCAACAATCTTTCAAGTTATCAATTTGAATTTAGTTAATGTTTGGTTTTAATTTGTTTGAGATCAAATATTCGGAACAAATTTGTTGAATAGGGAAAAAAACAACATTAATTGCATAAACGAAGTTAAATATGCATTACTAGGCCTCTTCTCTTCTTCGTTGTGTGTGTTTGGTATCCTAGGTCTCTCCTCTCTAAGAGAAAAAATTGCGTCATATCGAATGATTAGTTAGTCAACTTGACTATTAATGTTAAAAAGGATATCAACATGTTATTGATTATTGACGTGTTGTTCATATTACTGATGCTAAGTATTGATAGTGTCGATATTATATATCGTTTTGATATGTTTGTAGGTGTAAGTCCATATAACAAGTATAATCTTATTGATTAGTTGATTAAGTGGTCGGACCCAAGTTATTCTTCCTCCCACACATAAAATTAAGGATAGTGCTATTTACATATCCATTTTACTTCTCGCATATCCTTGTTATTTTTTATTATTGATCTTCTTCAAGTCATTCAATCCGACGGTCAAAAATTGAAAAAGGTATGTAAGAAGTAAAAATAAGTATGCGGATAACACTACCTAAAACCGATGGTTTTCTAATTTAAGTTTTAAAATGTATAGAAATATGTAAATATACACTGAACCCAAATCTAGTCTTAGCTATATAGAGCTGCTACGAGCCTGCAAGAGGATGCAAACCCAGAAGGACAACATGTAGAGTAAACCTTTTCCATATGGGCCTATCCAAAACTAGAACGAGTCCATCTACCAAACAAAGGAAAGGAACCAGAAATATTTGGACATTTTGCACAAAAAAAGGAAACTTCTGTACACAAGACCTGCATACGCTCTGAGTCCCTACACCCAATTTTCTGAATCAATTTACGGCTGCATCTACTTTGTACAACCTCTTTTCCTTCCCCTCGCCGGAGTTACATTTTGTTGACTACTTCTACGTCCAACTTTTCTAGGGTGACAGGAGGCTTTCTTTGTCACAGCGAAAGATTCAACCGAAGGAGAAGAATCAGCATTAGCATGACTGGCGTTCTTACTTCTGTTTGATGCCTTAGCAGCCACGTTTCCAGCATTGCTAACCTTTCCTGAAAACTTCCGGTTGCCAGGGCGAGCACTCCGGGGTTTAACCGGTGTATTACACACTAGTGCATTTGAGGAGAGGTTGGCAGAGGTTGCCTTGCTGCTAAAGTCCTTAAAATGCTGCCGCATTGTTTTTGTGGTGATGTCTCTGAGAAGCAAAGCGGATTTGTATTCACGCGTGTTCTTCGAGTAAAACACCAAGGCGTTGTTTGCCAGCAGCAAAAGATCTCGAAAGAGTTCCTTAACTGACATGACAGAGCGATTGAAAATCCTCGATCTTATTGTGTTGAAATCCATGTGCCTACGGATCAATTTCTTATATCTTCGTCTCTTCTGTCACGAAATAGAGTGGATTGTTAGAGCTGTATACATTATGCCAAAGGCTTGTTTCATACATCAGATAATTTATTCTACATTATGCCGAAGCCCTTACTGAATCCGCTGATTCAAGTAATGGATATCTTTTAAAAGTGATTGACGCGCATCCCTTTTCTCGAATACACATCTCTGACTATTTGAATAAATCAAGGAATAAAAGAACATAAATAAACAGCAGTGTGAAGAAGTAGAAACGAGGCGTACAAAAATTATTTTCTTATCTCTAAATCATAAACAAGCATGTAAAGTATGCATACCTGGCTATCAAGTCGATGACGAAAGAGAGAGGCACTTTTATGCTCCGAAATTGAATTGAAAACATCCTGCAACTCGTCAATCCCATCCTTGGTCGAACCTCTATTGCAATCGCCTGCGCCTGACGATCCAAATTCCTCGGGACATTCGCTGGTTGAATTTTCTATACACCGCAAGGTAGTTGCAGCATCAGTAGAATCCAAAAAGCCGCACTCTCCGATGCTGCCTTCCTTGACATCCCGACTACAATTCTTCCTCTTTCGTTTACCGCGTCTCTTTCGTAGAGTCCCTCCTAGTCCTACATACAAAGTCCCTACCAACTTCTCGATGCCTGAGATTTTCTCAAGTTCGGAAGAGTGCGAAGCTTCTCTTTTAGTCTCCGTTTCTTCAGCTGACACTGTCACCAGTATCTGGCATTCGGGCGAGCAGCTTGCCAATGCTTCACATGTAAAACTGCCGGCTGATGGCTCGTCCTTAAATGCCTCTTTGACAGATGGGTAATGTCTCTTTGATTTTCTATAAGCGACAGGTGATTCTGTCTGGCTGGAGTCGTAATTGTTGTAACCATCTTCTTCTTTCTCTGCCTTGAGAGATTTAAGCTTCGATTCCAATGACCTGCAGTGCGGCATGATAAAATCTTAACGCAAATGCAAAGAGACAGACCGGAGAAATGTAGAGCAAATTTTCTATTCATGGTCTTGATGATTAGAATATGAAAACATTAATTTGTGGTCATTTTTAGAACATAAACATGTCAAAAAAAGAAAGGACTAACCCTATTGAGTCTTCGGATTGTTTCAGCGCTTGTCTCAACTCTTCCATTCGTTTCTTCCGCAAATCTTCAAACCAAGCCCTAAGGAGAAGATATTAGGCATAATAATATGATTAGGTATAATCATATTAATCCACATATATACTTATATCTAATAAAGGAAATTCAAAGCTAAATCAAATAAAATAGAAATTCACGGGTCAAAATCATAAGAGCTTTTTGGTTCAGAACTTACTTAGAACCCGAGTATCGCTTTCGCAAGTCATGATATTTGGCTTTACAAACCTGGTGATAAGAAATACAGATGACATTAATTGGACGAGCAAATAAATCTCTCCATTTTGCACTCTAATGAAAGTACCTGCATCCATTTTCCACACTCAAGCAGAATATAAGTACAACTTATCATGTTTAGCATTAGAAATTAATAATGTCTACATTGTACACAATGCAGCATTTATCGAATACATTTTTCTTTTTTTCAAAAAGGACATTTTGTTGAGCACTATAGAGATAGAAATATTAGAACTCAGAATCTATTTCAATATTAGATTTAGGGTTTTATGGTGCACATTTAATTTAAATACAATGATAGTTACAAATCTGATGAGTATATAGTGTATAAAAAAGCTCTATAAGATTGATGTGAGTTATGTCAGTTAACAAAGACAACGTATATACCCTTTGCACTCATTAATTAGTTTAAAATACCACCCACACAACAAATGAAAAGGCAGCATAAACAAAGTACAACCAGAAAAGTGAAAACCATCCATAGGAGAAAAAAAAAAAGGAAAATTGAACGCAAAAGCAAAAACATAACAAGATGCATAAAGAATCGGACAATGGAATCGAAGATGAAGACCAATAATTCGATCCAACATAGCAACAAGAAATCAATATACAATACAATAGAACATGTTAAAAAATGTTACCGCGTAAAAATGTAGTTAAAAATAACAGTAAACAAGCAAATTCAAGAAGAAAAAGAGGGCAAAACCTCAGGCGTGAAAGTGTAGGGACAAACGGTTCTGGCTCGGAGCTCCTCCGCGACCTGGTTCCAGTTACGGGTCCCGTATCTTAGAATGGCCCCAGCCAACAGGAGCTCAACCCATGTCCCCCACCTGCTTCCTCCTATTACCTCCGCCGCCATCTTCACCCTCCACGTGTACGCCCCTGATCATACCACCACCGCCGCCGCCGCCTTCCCTTTTCTTATTATAGGTACCCAACCACCGGTTCACATTAGCCTCACCGCCACTCCTCCGATTATGAATTTCCAAAAAAGAAGAAAGAAACCCTATGGAATGGTCCGTACAAGAATTAAAAGGCCACCTTTTGGGTATTTGGAAAACCGGTACTTGGAGATGTTTGGTTGGCTTGAAATTTCGGATGGACGAGAGAGAGAGAGAGAGAGAGAGAGAGAGAGAGAGAGAGAGAGAGAGAGAGAGAGGTGGTTTTGGAAGATTTAGCTGGTATTGAAGGTGGTTTTTTTTACCTTTTGTTTTAGGTTTTTCAATTATAGTAGGGTTGAGAAAAGACGTTGACAGATTCTAATTTCTATTGAGGGTTGACGAGAAAAAAGCCCTAAAAAACTAAACACAGGGTACCATAAATGGGAAAGGGATCCTCTTCGGATTCACTTTGTGGGCATCTTAGGATCCTCACATTTTAGCCGTTAATCGTATATCGTGTGGTCAGTTTTCGTCAGATATTATTTGTATTTAATTTTAAATAAAAAAATCAAATAATTTATGACCGCATAATACACGATTAATGGCTAAGATGTGAAGATCTCTACGATCCCCACAAAGTAAACCGGATGGGATCCAAATCCCCATAAATGGACTCTACGAAAGATGACTACCAAAAATGGGAACAAATAAAATGAATAATGGAATTAGAATATTGTTTTATTTTAATATAATTACACTAAATTTATTTAAAATACGGAGGGAAAGTTCAAACTTTAATTGGAGAAGCTCTAACCATCCTAGCTAAATGTAAATTATCTAAGGTATAATATTATTCATCATTATTGTTAATTTTGTTTTTGCACCACCAGCAATATGCTTTAGTAATAATATTCATCTTTTGTTTTTTGTCCAATTATCGATATTGTTAGATTAACTAACTTAGAATAAAGCTTTTTAATATTTTCTTTTCTTTTTTTTAATCAATTCCTTCTACATATTTACCTTGAATTTGATATCTTCAAGCAACTATTTGTTTTGTAGTTAAACACTAACACACTATCAAATGGGAGACCCCATTATATCTCTCTGTAATTGAGATAGATCATAGATGTTGATGGATTTGATATCTTCAAGCAACTATTTGTTTTGTAGTTAAACACTAAAACACTATCAAATGGGAGACCCCATTATATCTCTCTCTAATTGAGATAGATCATAGATGTTGATGGATTTGATATCTTCAAGCAACTATTTGTTTTGTAGTTAAACACTAAAACACTATCAAATGGGAGACCCCATTATATCTCTCTCTAATTGAGATAGATCATAGATGTTGATGGATTTGATATCTTCAAGCAACTATTTGTTTTGTAGTTAAACACTAAAACACTATCAAATGGGAGACCCCATTATATCTCTCTCTAATTGAGATAGATCATAGATGTTGATGGTTTACAGCCAAACATTTTCTCTGAGGACGTGTAATTCAATCCAAAAAAAAAAAAAACCTTTTTCCTTGAATAATGCTTGGTAGAACAAAATGAGAAGTCAAATTTGATACCTATATAAAGGCGTAGCTTGATGCCTTTTGCTTCTTAACTAGGTTCAAGTTGGTATACTGAACTCCTATTTGAGTGTGCGAGACTAGAAATTCTAGAATTCATAAGACGGTTCAAACGTGACTAATATCCACCAAAGCCACATTACGTGGCTACTGAATAAAAAAGGGCCGTTTGGTAATTCGTGGCTCATGCTGTGATGAGAACCATATATCAGCCCTTAGGTCATGAGTTTGGTATGAATGAAATTATTTTCTCCTCTCATTATCTCTCTCTCTCTCTCTCTCTCTCTCTCTCTCTCTCTCTCTCTCTCTCTCTCTCTCTCTCTTCCTTCTTCTAACGGATCTGAATCGAGGTCCTATTGGAGAAGCTCATCAGGATTAAGTAACGATCTCATGGCGTTTACAAGTGGAAGGTCAAAGACAACTTTGATCGACCTACCGAACGAGGTCATGTTTGAAATTCTTCTGAGGTTACCCCTAGAAGCACTTTTTCGCTTTGCATGTGTCTCCAAAACCTCACAAACCCCACCCCCCCCCCCCCCCCCCGGCTCCGATGCTACATTTACTTGATTCTGCTGCCAACTGTGGTGCTGCTGATGAACTTGATCAAGTACCTCAACTTATGCTAGTTGCTAAAATAAAGGTCTTGCCGTCACAGTTATCGGAGGACGATACTGGCAAGTATGATTTGAGAGAAACTAAGCATGCTCTTCCCCTCACAAGATCGTTCAATGGTTACAAATGATGTATGTTTTGTTTTCTGCAACTTGTTTTGCTTTAAAGAGAATCATGTATACGGCGATCCATGCTTGCTGCTTAATTCTCTGGAGGAAGAAGTTCTCTCTGAGAAGTTCTAAGGATTCCTAGCAGTACCATCGATGATGAACGCTCCAACATCGATGATTGGATAATATTTCTAACACCTACAAGATTGTTCATGTTTCGCAGCCAACAGCATTAATTACGTGTGACAATGTTGGCCCCAGTTTATGTATTGGGCACAACCTCGTGGCGAGAAATTGACTCAGTTCCTCCTTGTGAGTTAAACAACAATAAGGCATCGTATGGAGATATGCATTGACTTGTTTTTGAAGATAAAGAATTTTTTTGACTCCCTCATCCCAACATAGAATATTCTCGCCGTCAGAGTTGCTTACAGTGTGCTTAACTTGAGGGTATCCTTGGCCATTGTGGATATTTCATACACTTGTGTTGATTATGGGTGTTAAAAAAAAAGAGAGAGTGGATGTTACTTTACAAAATAGATATCCGGTTGAAAATCGAACTCTGCTATGGTACCATTTGATAGAGACTTGTGGTGTATGGGAGCATGTCATATTCTTCAAATTAAACATTATTGGTAAAATAATAGAAAATATTGGTAAAAAAAAAAGAAAATGTTGGCGTATACTACTTTTTGGATCGAAGACATGATTCCATGGAAGCTATGAATCTTCCACTTTACCCTCAGTGTACTTCTACACAATAATGTTCAGTTATACTAGAAACCTGATTTCTTTGAAAAATTATGGCAAATTGGTTGAAGGTAAAAAAACAGGAATATGGCGGAAAATTTGTAAGATTTAAGGGCCAGGAAAAGCTTTTGTGAAGCAGAAACAAATGTGAAGGAACGGAGAGCACAAGCCTTGATTCAGTTTTTGTGAAGGGAAAATTGCTGTTTGGAAGCGGTTTCATTAGGGTAAATCTTAGACATTGTTCTGCTTCATTTGGTTACATGAAACTTTGTTATTGTGTTATCCAAAGATTAACTGTTCAACAAGTAACCGACTGCCAACCTTCGCAGAATTCAATTGAAATTAAATATCGTTTTCTTTCCATTCTTCATGAAATTCTTTCTTACCTTGCCAAAACACTCAAATCCGAAACCAATAAATTGTTGGCTCTACGTTTTCTTTCGTTTTACCGTTCATATTCCGATGATCGAGTACAAGGAAGAGGCTTTGCTTGCATCATGGCATGCATCGTGGAAAGGAAAAAGAAGGTCGTTTATGGTTTGGGAAGAAATTCTTTTGGCAAAATGTTTGGAACGGATCATCCGACAATATTCTATCGTGTTTGGTACCGCAACTATCAATGTTGTCAAGAGAAAGTAAGTATCATTCATTTATTATTACAATTTTTTTTTGGGAGTTGTCCTTAGTACTCTAAAAAGTCATCGTGCACTTCTTTATAAAAATGTAATTGAGAACTTTTATTTCGATGATTATAAAATGACTTTCTTGAATAGAAGTATCAAGTTGTCACCGAATCTTTTGTTTGGGTGAGTAGGATTGGAGAAGCTGATTAGAACCAACGATGTCATGGTCGAAAGCCAAACTGCAAACACATCGTTGATGGACCTACCAAACGATGTCATCGTCGAAATCCTATGCGACTGCCTGTAAAATCACTTTGCCGCTTCGAATGTGTCTCTAAGAGCTCTTCAAACATAATTTGCTGCCCCTTTTTCACTACACTGCTCACACGAAGTTTGCTTAATTCTGCTAACTCTGTCGTTGCTGCTGAAGTACCTCAACTTATGCTTCTTTCGGAATCCATAACGTGCGGTTATGATCACAAAATAATGGCCATGCAGTTGCAGCTGTCAAAACCCAATGGCGAATACGAACTGAGAAAAACCAAGCATGCTCTTCTTGTTACAAAGTTCCCTAATAACTCATTGGGTTTTGTTTTCTGCAACTTGTTTCTCTTTAAGCGCGAATGGGAAAGTGGAGGACCATTTTTCTTGCTCAATCCTCTGAGGGGAGAAGTACTAAAGCTCCCGATTAGCGACAGAAATGTTGCAAACTATATCGGAGAGAAAATAATTGCGGAATGGTACGGTGTTGGATTTGACAACCTAACCAACACTGCCAAGATTGTTCGTGTTTTCAAAAAGGGAGCAAAAATCCAGCACACAAACACAATGGTGGCAGAAGTTTGTGCATTAGGAACTAGCTCATGGCGAGAAATAGATTCGGTTCCTCCTTGTGACTTAAGCGGAAATAAAACATCTGCATACGGCGACATGCATTGGTTTGTATACAAAGACGGAAATGGGGAACATGATAACCACATCATCTCTTTTGATTTCAACAAAGAACTTTTCTGGACTCCTCATCCCAACATCCAGTTTTCGCACCATCGGAGCCTTGTTCATTTGCTCAATCTGAGAGGATGTTTGGCCGTCGTGGATCTTTCTTCAGACGATTGCATTGATGTATGGGTGTTGAAAAATAAGAGAGTGGGTGCTGGATTACAAAACGGATGCCCACAAGTTTGTAGAAGAACCACCTCGACGTTCAATCGAGAGTTGTGGTGCATGGAAGCATGGCATATTTTTCAAGCAAGAAAGTGATCGTGTATACTTTTTGGATCTAAGACATGGTTCCATGAAAGTTGTATATCTTCCAACTTTACCGCCGGGTTTCTTCAACCCGAGAATCTTCAGTTTCACAGGAAGCCTGATTTCTCTGAAAAATGATGGCAATTTGGTCGACGGCGAAACAAAAGGGATATGGGAAAATATTTTCATCGAAGAACCAAGAACAGGTACATGGCATTTTGATTAGTGTGGAGGAATATAGTTTACTTGACATGTAAGAACATAAAATTGACATTGGGTTTCTTTTCCCCCCACGAAATGTGGAATCATGAATCGAAAAGATGCGCGAAAGTATGAACAAACGAATGTATTTATATCATTGACGGATAGAAATTTCAGAGTACATGTATCATCGTTAAGGTACAAACAGCGATCTCCCCGACATCGGAGCATTGAAACCAGAAGATTTTCAAGCAATGCCAAAGACGATCGAACTGGAGGGATGCCAACCGGTAAGTATACAAGCTCTTAGAGGTAGATATTTACTTCAAGCTTTTCCTCGCAAAACTCTTGAACTTTTGCATTCCGTTATTGACAAAAGCCGAAGGGGACTCCTCAAACAAAATTGTAACAGGAGAAACTGCGACTTGGCATGAATGTTGATGTAGAGCGGTGTTGTATGTGCGGTCCCCTGTTACGGGATGCGAGCCAAGCCATCCTTTGGCACTTTTGGGTGAGACGGAGCCTGTTATGACTGTTGAATAATTAGATTCAATTCCTGAGCACATCTTGCCAGCACACCACCCCTCCTGCATCCAAAACAAAGGGATGAAACCCTCCGAGTGAACACGGCTTATCTTCGAAGAGAGAAATTTTGCCACATTCTCATTGCACGTGCAAAGGACATCTTTTCTTTTCCAAAAGATTTTTGTTTTCACAGGTTATGTCAATGGATTTTGTATCTAACCTGACAAAGACCGGAAGAATTTTCTGGATCTTTTGAAGATGGATGGAGCATTGCTTGCAGCATTCCAGCCTGAAAACGCAAATTTCAAATTGCAATCCATTCACCATGTACGAGAAAAGTGTTTAGCAAACTTCTTAAACAGACAATACCTTTGCTCTGCCTGAAGGTTGACACCGACAGGTCGAGGTCCTGAAACAGTTGAGTGTATGACTGGGCCAAAGACTGCCACTAGCTTCAATAGCATCTCCAACGAAATATTTGCATGCCTGTACATTTGAATCAAGGTACATAATTATAGTAGTAATTCACGTCTCAAACAGTTCCACGAAAATTCCATGTATTTGACCATCCACTGCTAAGACAATGAGTTCGTTCACAACCTTATTCATTACACAATTACCTTTCTGTCTTGCTATCGAGTAAGCCCAGAAGCACAGGAAGCAAACAAGAAAACAGATCTAATGTGAGACAATCCATTTTCTCCAGAAGAACAGTAACAACATCCGCTTGTACCTGCATCATGATCAGATTTAATTTAGAAAACCCAAATATACAGAGAGAACAGCGGTGGTTACTTGTTAGAACCACTAGACTTTGAAAACAATATATACAAAACATGAACTCATCTAAAAAATACCCACAGAATGATCTGGCAGCTTCCTGATAGCACCGATAGCACCTTTAATATCATTCTGTTCCCAAAAATGCCGCACCACCTACAGTTGCACAAAATTGTAAGTCATGACTTCCATAAAGGAAGCAATGCTTGAAAGAAATGTTCAAGAGGCAATTCATATATGGCTTGTACATAAAAGGAAGAAATTACAATACAGTATTGTAACACTGTAATTTATTTTTCAGCCTACCATCAGTAGACTGATTTTTAATCATCACATTGAGTGCCAGCAACTCTAGTGTTATAAATTGTGTATTAACATAGAATCCTAGGTTGGAGCAAATTGACCTCAAACACTGTTTATGCCACAAAGTTATCTACATTAGGTTGCAGTTGTTGAGAGTTGCCCTCGTGTGAAGCCAAATGGCCACACTCGCTCCACGTCACCCAGTTGTTGTCCACGTGTTGACTTGAAAATCAGCCACACGTGCGGGGGCTTGTTGAGAGTTGTGCCACATCGGTGAGGGACAAGGTTTGCTATGTGCTTATATGGTCTTGGGCTACTCCTCATATTGCCAATTGGTTTTATGGTGGAACCCCAATCTCATCAGCAGTCACTAAAGAAACTAATGTTCAGAAGAACCACACAGCAGATCATGCGTCATTGGCTCATGCAAAAGACTTTCACGGAAAGATAATGTACCTGCAGTTTTGTCAAGCGGGAACGAAGGGTACTGAGAAATACGTCGTGAGTTTGCATCAAATCTTCAAGAGGACCCTCATTGTTCGTACAGATCATATGCCTCCCAGAAATTTGAGGTCCTTCCTTCTGCTTATGAAGCAAGTAGTAGAGATTATCTTCCAGTTTGAAAGAATAAGCAATATGCACTGAGACAGGCTGTGGACAAATTTTTTAGGTTCACACTTATTTTCGCATGTCAAATAAAGCTCTAAAGGCCTAAGCTAATACAGATGGTCACTTTCTATATATACTTTAATATCACATGATTAAACTACTAACTTCATGAATTCCTTATGTTCTAAAAAGGTCTTGGTTTTCAGTCTGAAGCTTGAATTACGTAGTAGCTTCTTCTACTTTAACTGAAAACTAAAATTTCAATCCACTACCCTTGGCTGTTTTAAGTCTAGAAAAACATGCTCTTGGGGCAGAAATATTTACCAGCATGGTGGATGCTCTGTCCCTTTCAGGTATCACAGGTCTAGAGATGTTAGCTTCAACTTCAGGTATCACAGGACTACAGATGCTTGCTTCAACTTCGGGTATCACAGGACTAGCTACGCTAGTTGCTTGATCTTTAGGTATCACAGGACTAGATATGCAAGTTGTTTGATCTTCAGGTATCACAGGACTCAATATGCTAGTTGCTTGATCTTCATTACCATCAAATCTCTCTCTCCTTTCAAACCGCTCAACCAGGGAGCGAGTCCTTCCTGAAACAACGGCAACTGCCAAATGCAGAGTCTTAAGAAACCAAGTTCCATTCAATACAATGTTAGAACCACAAATAAGGTAAGCAATGACAAACCTCCATTTACAAATTTAACAGAGTTCGTGTCCTTGCTGCAATTGAGGGATCCGTTTCCTGACATTAAAGAAAATCAGTAAGCTCCAGCTGGAAGGGATAATGGAAAGGTTCACATTCAAGACAAGTCAAGGATAATACAGGTCAATGATAAAAGGAAAAGTAAGAAGCAAGAACTGATTAAATAAAATACAATTTTGACTTCAGAAAGCTACATAAGAACAAAAACTTACTGGCTTCAAGATTGGAGGGATTATTTGGTGAAAATACTTTTTCAAATTTCTCTTCAACACTCTTGATCTCAGAATGCTTTTCCTCACTGGACTCTCTAGCCCTATCTTCTGATACACCTTTGGTTTGAGAGTTAAGATCCACTGCATTATCTAACGGCAGCTTCTCGAAGTCAATTTTGCTATTTGATGGCCTTCTTGCATGAGCAGGTTTGAGCAACATACCACGCTTGGTCCTCGAAAGTGCAACACCATCCCCTCCAGGGTTAGCTGTATCTTTTTCATCAGGACTGCTCCGCGGTACAATACTAGGCACAGCCAGTGATTTATTGACTATTTGTTCATTAGATTTTGGAGGCAACCGTACCGAAGGATTCTGCTTTGCAGCACTGTTTGCCTTTGAATCCGACGAGGGTACAACCTTTGGAGAATCCATTCTCCGTGTGGCAACTGGCTTTCCTCCACTACCTTTACAAAGATTATAAAACATAAAATAAGAGTAACTATAGGACAAACAGAAGTCATAAGGAACATAAATGCTGAATAAAAGTTACATATCTAGCGAATATATATGTTTCTAGAGTCTGGTGGTGGGAGAACCTAGATTCCCTCATTGGTTCATGCCCCACAACAGTGCAATATCATGAGTGCAGGGCCAAAATGGTTTTGGTAAAGTTTATGCTCAACTAAATATCACAAACTACTCATCTCCAGTCTCGATGTGGCTTAAGCAAGACCAGGCCAATGTTCAATAGTATTAATAGTAATAAAAAAAAAATTTTTTTTTTATTTTTTTTTATCAAGGTAACAACAATGTAAATAAATTCATTTACACAACTTTATCAAAAGTAGAAGCCATATGACAAGCATTGGGAACAAAAAATTCAAAAGTAAGGATGAAAGGAGAACCCCAAACTTAAATAAAACGATAACAAAGCAGGAAAAGAAGAAAGCTTACAATCCACATATATGTTTTTTATTCCTTTGTGTCATAATCAGGCGACATACACCGCAAGCCCGGACTTCTTATACCACTCTCTACCTTCCCTGCAATTTCCGGGAGTTTAACGGAACGTTTCTCATCTGCACAGTCATCATGCCCAGGCGTTGAATCAGCTGCATATGGCTTAGTAAGCTGAGACAGAAAGAGCAGAGTAGCATTATAACAACTCACAGGTCTCAGTCTCAAAAACAACAATTGGAATTTCAAAAGAACATAAAAAGGAGTAACCAGGAAAAAGTTTTAAGTCAAGTGAATACCGATATATCCGCAACCCAAACTCCAACAGAATTTCGATAGTATGAACAGCCCAACAGTTTCCCATCATGAATGCATAAGTCACTAAGTCTGTTCCATCCCATATCAACAGAATCATGACATATTACAGGTTCCCATGAATAAACCTACAAATAGAGATCTTAAGTTTATGATTCATTTCAGATACAATCCCGCAGATCACTGAGACGAAACAATTCCAAACCTTCAAACTGTCGTCCAATCCTGAGAATAGGGTCCTCCCATCAGGATGAAAAGCAATTGCACGTACTCCTGTAGGCTGGAAATAGGAAAAGATTATGTCAGAGGAGCAGGATGAAAATCGCATTATGAGAAGAAAGGGTTAGAGAAGCATAAATTGAGTCATTTATCTATATGAGAGAGAAATAGAAACATTAGCAAAGGAGAAAGGGGCAACATAGCAGGCTTCACCTGCAAGATAAACAGATATATTGTTTCGACATATTTAGTTCTCCTTAAATGTTTTGCTTTTCTAGCAGCCACATTCCAGGTTTTATTTAGAATTGCATACCTTTCAGACCTAAACCTAAAAGGAGAACAAAACTGAGAAAAATAATAAATACATTCAATAATCACCATAAAGTATCAGTTCCAGCACACAAACTCAATACCTCAGGTCTGGATGATCCAATCAATTCAAAGTTTCCAAATCCCAAAATTTTACAGTTCTGTCTGTTGAACCTGAAATATATTTTAAAGATTAAAACGATTTACTGGCTACTACATGAACATGATGATGGGAATGCTGAAATTAAGAGTGTAGGATAAAATATTGAGGGACAAACTGAATGCTTAGAAGCTTACAAATCATTAATAAAGCTTTGCATAGGTTATAGAACGTGTTAAGCATACTTGAAGCTTACAAGTAACAAGTTCCAACTGACTTAACTTAAGAAAGCACCAGTTAACAAGAATGGCTATAGGTTGCTTGAACAAGTTGTAAGATTTCATTAAATTTCTTAGCAAGATGCATGAAAGGCTAGTATGAGTTGCTTGAACAAGTTGGACAAATGCTACATAATTTATAAATCCAGAAATTCATCAACTACATGCAAAGCCAAATTATATCCAAGACCTTACCTGTGGCCAAAAGAAACTCAAGGGGATGAAAATCTAAGGATCGAATATGTCCTTCATGGAATTTAAAATCATGCAAGAGCTTCCCAGCAGTTAGATCCCATATCTACATGATATACCAGTTATGGTCAAGGAAAAGAAAGCTTGCAGAAAGCGCACTGGTAGTGTGATTATTTATTAGTTTGTTACCTTTACAGCATTGTCAAACCCACCAGAAACTACCCAGCGCCCATCGGGAGTGAATTTAATAGTACTAATGCCCTGAGTATGACCCTTGTATGTGTGGATGCATCCCTTCTTTCTAATATCCCATATCTTTAGATTCGTGTCCATGGAACCAGAAGCAAAGAACTCACCAAATGGATGAAATTCAACAGCAGTACAGCTGGATCTGTGTCCAGTTAGTGTGCGAACCACTACACTTCAATAACAATAACAAACACATTAGGAGTTTACTGAAAAAGTTACTCAAAATAAACTGTACTAGTCTGCAGCCGCCAATCAATAAAGCCTTGGACACAAGACTCGTAAGTCCTCAAATCAGGTCAATTCTATCAATGAGGTGACATGATCCCTCAAATATATCACATTTCCCCATGCATCATTTTATTGCCTCACAGAATCAGAACATGTAACCAGTTCTTTAAATAAGGGTAAGTTTGGCTAACAACGATAAATAATACAGTAGCCAAATTTTCAAAAAATAATGATCAAGTAGCCAACTTACTCTTTGTTTCCTCAAGATCCCATATTTTTGTCACACCAGACGAAGCTCCAGCAAGCACCAAAACTTCTCCCGAATTAAAAGCTACGGATTCAACTGGACTTGTATGACCTGCAAACCTCTGCATATTTACCCCAAAAAAGAAAAAATTCAGGCAGCTGTATATATGTCAAAAGAAGAATAGCACCCTGAGCCATGGCTTCCAAGAACCAAAGCAAATGAGATGACGATTCTTTAAGAAGAAATTGAAAATGCATACAACCAAACGAGGAATTTGCGGTCATATAATATGCACTTATGGTATAGAAAATTGACATTTTAAAACAATACGAATCAAATGAATAACCAAATACAAGACCACCCTCAAATTCAAGTTTACGACTTTTCCCTAATTATGCTACTTCATAACAAGGAAGAATTCAAACAACTCAAAGGGCCTACAAGCCAATTCTAGATATCAGTTTAATAAATAACCCTTTGTGGAATCACTGAATTATAACATGTAATGTACTTGATTTTCAGAATAAGAGACCTTCTTAGGGCACATCAAAGAAAAATTCCACAATTCGGAAACAATTAGAAACATTCATAAAATAAAGGGCAGTACCATCAAAGCAGTGGGTTTGCCAATTGCCCAGAGATTGACTATGTGATCATCACCACCAGTAACAAAAAGCCGACACGCCTTTTTCCCAATACTTAGACAATTAATACTGTCTGAATGCGCCACAAATTCCTCTATATTCCATTAAGTCAAGAAAACAGTTCCTTTGACAAACACTACACAATCACACAAATGCCAAACACATGACACGCGCAACGGTTTACAAAATAAATCTGCTACATTTGTTCTTAAGCTCCTTTCGATCCTTCTCTTGAAAATCCCTAAACTAAACGACTAGACAAGATTAAATGAAAATCTTAAGTTAAACATTAACCCAAGTAGAGTATTTTGACTGAAATTTTACCCCATTTGACAGAACTTAAAAATCTTTACAAATTTTGTTACTTTCCTAATTTTCTCAGCTACCAAACACAGCATGATTTCCTCGATTTCCAAAGCTGGGATTCCAAAAAATTGCAAATCTCTTTACCTTCAATTCAAGCTCACTGACCAGTAAAATCAGATCAAGATTTCGAAAAAGCAGAGCTCAATTCTAGCTAAGTTCCAGCTAATAATCTCAAAAAAAAAAATATCAAAACTTCACACAAAAGGATACGCAGCTTGTAAGCACGCTTGGCCATTTCTGCACCAGTCGGAGCCAAAACGACTTCGGAAACCGGAAACGAAGAAGACGAACTTAGGATCGGTATAACAACTTCAGCTTGACCAGAAGAAGCAGAAGTCTTTTGAGCAGAAGCAGCTTTTCTAACCCTTGGATTTTTCAGCTGGAATGGAAATCCCACGAGAAAGATAGGAATCGGATTCCGATCCAGCAGCAACTCTGTGCTCTGACCAGAAGCAGCTTTTCTTTCTTCTACTTATCTTCCGCTCGCTCCTTCTGTACGTAATGACCGAAAGCCCCTCGCTTTTAACCGCGGGGACGACGAAATTACCTGGAAGCCCCCGGTCGGTTATTTTGTGACGTCGCTTTGTCTCCGGGTCCGTATTTCTACGTGTTCAAATTTAGTGGTTGGGATTTTATAAATTTTTTTGTTGCATTCAAAACCCAAATAAAAATAAAATTAGAGAATCAAATTTTTATTGTGCCCATCACGTTGGGTTGGGGGATGGTTGGTATGGAAATTTTATATTTTGAATAGTTATTCCCTTTTATTGTGAATTCTTGTTGGATCTTAGCGTCTGGAGTTTAGAAATCAGAAATTTTGGACCCTTGATTTGTGTAAAAAAGATATCGGAGTTTGTGATTTGTGTGAGATGAATTAGTGGAATGAGTTAATGGATATGTTGAATTCAATGTGAGCAGTCTAGATTACCTGCTTATTGAGTTATGAATAGTGAAATCCAGATATGTCTTAATTTTTAAACTTCTATCGAACATTTGATAAGGAGAGTTTCCTACCCAACAACTAGCTAGATTCCTAAAGAACCTTTTGAGGGTCATTGTGTTGAAGAGAAATTATTCGATCGAGACATGTTACTTCTATTTTTCGTGTCAGTCTTTGTTAATCCAATTATATAATAATTGTATTTTTGAGATTTAGTTCACTAAAAACTCAAAAAAAGTATCTGGTTCGCTTTTTAAGATTTTAGACAACGGTTTATATATGAAATTTTTGGAATTATTTATTTTGAATTGTCTCTAAAAAAACTCAAAAAGTTAGGTATACATGAAGTAGCTGGTATTTCAGTTTCACTTTCTATTTCAAATGTTGCAATACGTCGTGTATTTGGATCTCTTGTTACGTTTATGATAAATTATTTGCTAAGTAAATTTGAAATCAAAGTTGTTATTGGCATGAGAGTTAAAAGTTCTAACTATTCACAAGGCAGTGCATGTGAGTTTAATAATTTGATGTTAAAGATATTAACTTGATGTTTTAATTTTCTCTCATTTCAGTTCAACTACCATGGATTGGACCCAATGTGATGAGAAAAGCTTTGGTATTAGCATGATTGTCACAAAATTTTTGAAGTCATTTAGAAGGAACCAACCACCCACAAAAACTAACCAATTCCTTAAATTATTACCCACATTTTTTTGCAGCAAAAGGAATATTATTTATTGTATATACCAACTGCGGTTTCAGAAGCTTTTGATTGGGATTTTAATTATTAACTCCTTAGATTAGTTTGGTCATTAGAACCAAATTTGGTACTTCATGAAGTTGTTCTCTTGAATCAAGAAGTGAAAGCTCAGTTCTTTATCTTTCTTTTCTTCTTTTTTTTTTTTGGCAAAATTCCAAGAAATACTATCCTTATTTTATGTTTGGTAATTTATTGCGCCACCTATTAACCTAACATGAAAATAACAGTTTTCGGGTCAATCAGTTGACGAGTCGGGTCATTATTGGGTTATCTGTTAAAAACATGTTAATGAGTTGGGTCGTAAGGGTCACCAGTTAAGAACTTGTTAAGATAACGAGTATGACATATAAATGACACAAACATGCCCTGTTTGCTAGATCTAGACATTAGACATGGTAATTTCTTACATGATTCGTTAACCTGACATGAATAACAAATTTTGGGTCAACTCGTTAACGGGTTGAGTCGTTATCGGGTCACCTGATAATAACTCATTAGCATAATGGGCTTGACATGAAATAATCCGTTAATATAACGAATATGACACAAAAATAATACAAACACAACCCATTTACCAGATCTACATTATTTGCACCAGTTTCTTATCAAAATCAGATTTGAAGTGAATTCTTTTAGACTGAATTATACAACTAAATAACCATATATATTTCAATTGAACTTTGTTTTTTATAAGCCCCTTTCTCGATCAGTCTCATGTTTCGATTTGTGTCGTAAATGTAAAGAGCCAAGTATTTTCCAAACTAAAACAAAGAGTGGAGAGCAGCATATGTTGAATTCAAGGAGTGCTTCAACGTGTGAAGCAGAGTCCCCATGTGTTTAAACTGAGATAAACTTTTGGTCAAAGAATGATTGGGCAGTGAGTCATCCGACATGCCATACAAAGCATCATGGCACCCACCTTTGCCACTAGATCTCCAAGAATGTTCGACTTTCTTTCCCACTTGGCTCTTTCCCACTTGGTTATTATATTTGTTATCTGTATATTCTGCGAACACGTAGAATTGTATATTGATCATTGACCACATAAATAACAACACTATCAGCCACACCACTAACAACCACAAATATGTATAACTAAGGATAAAGACCACATGCACCTCCTACTCCTAGTGAGTAAAAAATCCACAAATTTTATCCCAACGTTTCGCTTGTGTTAAGTTGGTAAACGCAAGGTTATAAAAGGCGTCAGTTGGACGGCTAAGTATTAGGCGCTAGTCAAACGGCAAATATGATTGAATTCATACATTAGGTTACAAGGAGGTTGCTACTTCATAGTTTCACTTCTTGAATTGTTCTATCGGATTGGTCGTTCAAGATCCTTGGTCTCTACCCCCAACCTGATGAAAAGAAAAATATCACTTTTTATGAACTCGTTGAGAATTATTCTAATTTAGTTCATGCTCTATTAGAAGTAGAATTCGTTCCGATACGATCCTCACGAACAGAAAAATGTTGAAACCAGTTTGATAATGATCGAGTGACATTGCTTCTTTCGGCCGAACAAAGGAATCCCCCATGAAATACTCCATTGCAGAAGTCCCTCTCAGTACCAATTTGCAACTCCTGCAAGCTCACTAACTTTTTTGAAACGTTTTTGAGTTACGAGCTTTTTTCCTCATTTTCGCACCTCTTTTTTCACCTTTTGTACTCTTTTTGTATTGCTTCAATGATATCGACACATTACATGTTCTTTAACAGCAGATAAATGTTGACAAACACCCTCTCTTTATGTTCTCCCGTTTAAGGGAAGAACTAACAAAATAGAACACAAGCACCTCCTGGTAAGTAAAATTAACCACAGATAATAATTACATTAATTACTAATTGAACAATATTCACACACAAAATTGTTTAAAAAAATTAATAAATTGCATTAGATGCACCTTCCCATTGATAAAAGAACACATTTGAGTGCATTAAATTATGTCAAAAGGGGTCTAAATTATGTTGCTGCTGCTTCACCGTCACACAACTCCAAAGAACTTGCAACTCGGGCAAGCTCACCCCCTGAGTTGAAACGTTTTCCGGTTAAGATTTTATCCTCATTTGATTGATTGCTGGAGGTTGGAGGCTCTGGTTAAACCATTTGCAGGAGTTCCTGGACAATTTCAGATATTCGAGGCCGGAATTCTGGCTCCCTCTGCAGAAAAGATTGGATATAAGGTTGACATTATCGCTTAACGAAACACCACGCAGTCCTTGAAAATATTCAACATTGAAGTGTTGCTTTATGGAAAACAATACGTTGCTTTCAATGTGAACTGGATACGAAACTCTTAACACACACAAAACTTCTGTTTCTACATTTCAGTGGTACGTTTTCTTAAGTTTTATATTCCTGAAGCATCATCTAGCAAGAACACAAAAAGTTAACGAAGAAAACTCACCTGTACGCAAGAGGAAATGATATCGGCAAAACGGGATAAAGACTTCATTGTATATGCTCCATTTAGAGAGGGATCAACCATCCTTGATAATGCATCAATGTCATGAAGCTTTGGAACTGCCCATCTAACCAAATATTGTTCCCCACGAGGCCGTGACCTAGAAATTTAATAACAAGAGGAGAAAAAATTGTGAATGATAGCTAAGTTCAGCTGTGGCAAACATGTTTAACAGCGAAAGATGCGAGAAACAAGCATATTAGTTCTTGATGTAATTGCCAACCTGTCATAGGCCTTCCTCCCTGTAAGGAGCTCTAACATTACAACCCCAAAGCTGTAGACATCACTTTGGTGAGTATAACTTCCTGAGTCAAATTCCGGGGCAGCAGAACCATACGCAGTGAGGAGGTGCCCGGACATCTGAGAGTCAATGAACACAAATCAGCAACAGATTAAGCCAACTCTATATACATCTTAAATTGAAGACTCTTATCTCCGACAGTGAGTTGGCTCCACCCAACAAGTCAGTTTATTACTTGCTAGTATAACTTCAAGGTTTCAAATCTAAAGGTTATGAGACTTACTGAGGGAGACAATATCAGAGGAGCTAAACCGCAGTCCGAGACATGTACTTCAAGCTCTTCATCAAGGAGAAGATTGGCAGACTTGAAATTATGGTGCACAACAGGTGGTTGACAGGCCTCATGCAAACACCTTTACAAAAAGTAAAAGAGAAGATTAATGACCTAGGTGGAAGGCCAGCTCTTTGCACAATTGCGCATGTCAAAAATAATAAGGAACAGAGGTTTTTGGTTTTGAGTCATTGATTTGCTTACTCGAGAGCTCTTGCAGCTCCAAGTGCAACGCGGATGCGCACACTCCATGTGAGCTTGTGATGAATTTCATCATCAGTATGCAGTGCATCATGGAGAGTCCCATTTGTACAATACTCATACACAAGTAGTCGTTGGCCATGCTCAGCAGAGTAACCCACTAGTTTCACAATATTAGCATGTTTTGCCTTAGAGATATTAGATACTAAATCAAGAAATTCCTCATCACTCAGCTGCGTACATGCTGTACTGTCCAGTTTCTTGACCGCCAAAATCTACAAAAGAATCCAAAAGTGGAAGATTGGATGCCAGGGCAGAGACATACGAAATGAGGAAGCCAAACAAAGCTAGCAAGAAACCATCATCATCACCGCAAACGCCAAAGAACAAACCAACGGTCGAATGTAAGGGAAAAACAAGCCAAACGGCCAGATGGTAGTCCCAGAAGATAAGTTAACGAATAATCAAAGGAATCATACCTTTTGGTCAGGAAGCGCAGCCCTATAAACACTGCCAAGCATGCCTGCTCCAATAAAATTTTCTTCAGAGAAGCTATT